GGGGTAACTGGGACAGCGAATTCCTTCTGGATTTTAATCTGGATTTTTAAATAATTGAGCCAGAGTTTGTTGTTCTTCTTCTGTGCCTTCAAGTAATTTCTGACTTGCGATGATCCTAAGAGGAGCCTATCACAGGGTTTTCTGGCAAAGATTTGTTCAGAGGGTGGTTGCTGAGAGAGTTTGATTTCTCCAGGGGTGACACAATGGGTTTCCATGGCTAAAAGAAAATTTGAATCTAGAGTCATTGTCCAATCCTAAATATCCCAAATACAGGCACTGAGGGGTTCTGTTCAGTGCCATTGTTCAGTTCATGTTCATGGCAACATCAGAGTGGTCAGCTTCTGAAGCCATCAAAGCAAGAGATGAGTCATGGGAAGTGCTCAATGGAAAGACCCACCTGGCAATGGAGTGCACCAAGTGACACCATTAGAAAGGTGACACACAAATGGCTGCCCATAAAAATTGTTCAGTATTTAACTAGAAATTTATTCTTTAAAAATAAATAAATATCCATGTAATTAGATATAACCAACCATAAAAAACACTTATGTGAGCCCAGTTTACAGGCACCGTATCAATATTCCTACTAAGCTAAAAGTCTATGCTAATTTACCTTTGAGCTGTCTATTGTGCATGCGCTCCAGTCAGAGCTGTCATGATTCCCACTTGCAATGATGCTTCATATCACGTGGTTTCATCTAAGTATGGTATGCACACACCCTGTTGTTTTCTTTGCTGTTGCAAGTCAATAAATGTATGTGGGTGGATGAACCAGTTTATTTTATCGTTGTTTGTTCGGCTCAGTAAATAATCCAATCATCCCAAGCTGAATATTCTTCTAGAAGAGCACGGCATTATTTACTTAAGAGACTTAAAACATTGAGTGCTGCCTGGAATGGTGAGTTCCTTTGGGTTTTAGTTTGAACTTTCAAGAATCTATCCAGAGATGGTGGTGGTGGTTGTTGTTGTGTCCCTTCAATTCATTTCTGTCTTATGGTGATCCTAAGATGAGTCATAATAAATTGTGGCAAGTTCTTGGTGGTATGGGCATACCAAATCACCTTGTCTCTCTCCTGAGGAATCATAAGGACCAAGTAGCAACAGTAAGAACTGACCACGGAACAACAGACTGGTTCAAGATTGGGAAAGGCGTGCGGCAGGGTTGTATACTCTCACCCAACCTATTCATCTTGTATGCAGAACACATCATGCGATGTGCGAGGCTTGACAAATTCAAGGCTGGGGTAAAAATTGCTGGAAGAAACATTAACAACCTTAGATATGCAGATGACACCACTTTGATGGCCGAAAGTGAGGAGGAGCTGAGGAGCCTTCTAATCAAGGTGAAAGAAGAAAGCACAAAAGCTGGGTTGCAGTTAAACATAAAAAAACCAAGATTATGGCAACAAAAATGATTGGCAACTGGGAAATAGAGGGATAAAACGTGGAGGCAGTGACAGACTTTGTATTTCTAGGTGCAAAGATTACTGCAGACACAGACTGCACCCAGGAAATCAGGAGATGCTTACTTCTTGGGAGGAGAGCAATGCCCAATCTCAATAAAATAGTGAAGAGTAGAGACATCACACTGGCTACGAAGATCCGTATAGTTAAATCAATTGTATTCCCCGTAGCAACCTACGAATGTGAGAGCTGGACCATAAGGAAGGTTGAGCGAAGGAAGATAGATGCTTTTGAACTGTGGTGCTGGAGGAAAGTTCTGAGAGTGCCTTGGATTGCGAGAAGATCCAACCAGTCCATACTCCAGGAAATAAAGCCCGACTGCTCATTGGAGGGAAAGGATAGTAGAGGCAAAGATGAAGTACTTTGGCCACATCATGAGAAGAAAGGAAAGCTTAGAGAAGACAATTATGCTGGGGAAAATGGAAGGCAAAAGGAAGAGGGGCCGACCAAGGGCAAGATGGATGGGATCCTTGAAGTGACTGGATTGACCTTGAAGGAGCTGGGGGTGATGACGGCCAACAGGGAGCTCTGGCGTGGGCTGGTCCATGAGGCCACGAATAGTTGGAAAAGACTGAACAAATGAACAACAACAAAGATGAGTCTATCACAGGGTTTTCTAACAAGATCTGTTCAAAGGGGGGTTGCTAAGAGAATCACCCAACTGGTTTCTATGGCTGAGCAGGATTCAAATTCAGAATCATAGTCCAATGCTCGCTATGCTCAGTGCAGACCCTATTTTAGGGGTTCTCTTCAATATCTTTCTTCGTCTGCCTTAAAAAAGGAGAGGGAACAAAACACTCTCGCCTATTTCATTTCTTTCTTGCCTTCATGGCAAGCACACCTTACTTCTTAATATCTTTTTCACCATGCTTGTCTGGGTGTCCATTCTTCCCTATTTTCCACCTTTAGTGAAGATAAGGAGAAAAGAATTAGACCAGTGTTTCTCAGTTTGGGCTTCAGAACCCCCGGGGAGGTCGTGACGGGGTTTCAGAGGGGTTGCCAAAGACCATCACAGTCTTTTCTGTTGGTCATGGGGGTTTTGTGTGGTGTGGGAAGTTTGGCCCAATTCTATCGTTGGTGGGGTTCAGAATGCTCTTTGAATGTAGGTGAACTATAAATCCCAGCAACTAAAAACCCCAAATGTCAAGGTCTATTTCCCCCAAACTCCACTGGTGTTCAAATTTGAGCATATTGAGTATTCATGCCAAGTTTGGTCCCGATCCATCATTGTTTGAGTCCACAGTTCTCTCTGGATGTAGGTGAACTACAACTGCAAAACTCAAGGTCAATGCCAACCAAAACCTTCCAGTATTTTCTCTTGGTCATGGGAGTTCTGTGTGCCAAGTTTGGTTTAATTCCATCAATGGTGGAGTTCAGAATGCTCTTTGATTGTAGGTTAACTCTAAATCCCAGCAATTACAACTCCCAAATGACAAAATCAGTCCCCTCCCCGAACCCCACCAGTATTTAAATTTGGGTGTATTGGGTATTTGTGCCAAATTTCTTCCAGTGAATGAAAATACATTTTGCATATCAGATATTTACATTACGATTCACAACAGTAACAAAATTACAGTTATGAAGTAGCAATGAAAATGATTTTATGGTTGGAGGTCAGCATAGCATGAGGAACTGTATTAAGGGATCGCAGCATTAGGAAGGTTGAGAACCACTGAATTAGACTTTGTCCATTTCGCTGGTAGTTGGGCATACTGCCTAAACCAGTTTTATTCCACGTACATCTTTCCTAAGTGGTGATTTCTTGGTGATTTTTCTTTTTTGCTTTCTTTCTTTCTTCAACTATGCCTATGAAGAAAACAAGAACCAGATCGCTTACAAAGCTTTGATTTGCCAGTTACTTGAATAACATTTTAAAAGAAATACATTGCTTTGAATAGATTTGTTTAATGCTCTGAATGGGGGGGAGATAGGAGCAATGCTGGATCTTTCACAAAAGCCTTTTCTTTTGGTGAACTTTGAGGCCTCTTCCCAATTTGGGAAAGCCTTGAAATTCTCAACCGAAAGCAACTAGGCCTCTAAGTAGAATAGGACCACGGGGCATCTACACTGTGGAATTGATGCAGTTTGACACCATTTTAACTGCCATGGATCAATGCCGTGGAGTCATAAAAGTTGTAGTTTGGTGAGGCAGGAGCCCTCTTTTGACAGAGAAAGTGAAACAACTTGTAAAACTGTAACTTACATGGATCCATAGCACAGAGTCATGGCAGTTTTGAATAGTGTCAAACTGCCTTAATTCTGTACTGTAGATGCATCCTTGGTCACATAGTTTCTCCACTCTGAAAATACATATTTCTATATACATTACAATTATCGAGCTCTGAGGATTACCTGGGAAGGAATCCCACTGAAGCATTGCAGCACATCCAAATACCTGGGAGTTACCCTGGACCATTCTCTGATCTACAAGAAGCACTGCCTGCATATCAAGCAAAAAATGGGTGCTAGAAATAATATCATACAAAAGCTGGCAGGCACAACCTGGGCATCACAACCAGATACAGTGAAGACATCTGCCCTTGCACTTTGCTACTCTGCTGCTGAGTACACATGCTCAGTGTGGAACACATCTCACCATGCTAAAACAGTGGATGTGGCCCTTAATGAGACATGCCGCATTATCATGGGGTGTCTGTGCCCTAAACCACTAAAGAAATTACACTGTTTAGCCATTGTTGCACCACCTGATATCCGCCGGGAAGTCACAACCAACAGTGAAAGGACCAAGGCAGTGACATCTCCAGCCCATCCCCTGTTTGGATATCAGCCAACATTCCAACAACTTAAATCAAGAAATAGTTTTCTAAGCTCTACAGAGACATTTGCTGGAACACCTCAGCAAACAAGAGTCCAAAAGTGGCAGGCTAAAACCAGAACCTCAATCAATGGCTCATACCAAATGAAAGACTCCCTCCTGGGCACACAGAAAACTGGGCGACTTGGAAGGCACTGAACAGACTATGTTCTGGCACCACGAGATGCAGAGCCAACCTTAAGAAATGGGGCTACAAAGTAAAATCCACGACATGCGAGTGTGGAGAAGAGCAAACCACCGACCACCTACTACAATGCATCCTGAGCCCTACCATATGCACAATGGAGGACCTTCTTATAGCAACACCAGAGACACTCCAAGTGGCCAGCTACTGGTCAAAGGACATTTAAGAGAATGCCAAGTTTGCAAACTTTGTGTGTGTGTGGTTCGCTTCTGATGCAATAAATAAAATAATTTTAAATGTGTATGCAATGTGTATGCAATGTGTATGCATGCATACAAAAAAATATGTTCACTCAACCTGGGTAATGCATTGTCTCTTCCAGAGAAATGTGCAACTGCCCACCCTACTTCTTATCTCTGTGGCAGGTTAATTTCATAACTTAGTATTTGTGAAAGACTTTACTACCAAGGCCATTTTATAGCTTTTCGACATTCCTATTTTGCAAAAGCTTTTTTGCTTGCCAGTCCATATTTGGACAATACTTTAAAATAAATACCTTGAACATCCCTGGTTACTCATTAACGGGACACTCCGTGTCCTCAGGACATTTAATGGATATAAAGAGAAGAGTATTAGAGTCAGAGGCCTGTTTGAATGCTAGAGGTATCTCTGCCATTGCTGTAAGTATTCTTCTTTTTCTCTTAATGATTTATGCCATTACTTTCATAATGCTGCTTACTGTCCAGCACTTTAACCAAATTGCCTTTAAAGTGAGAAGCAGCCCTACATATTAGAGCAATATCAATAATGTTTGTGGTGTACATAACTAAGCTCACAATTCTGCTTGGATACGTTACATTTCTGTACTGCATCTCACACAATCTCCAAGCCTGCAAGGCAGCGGTTCTGGGACATATAATCCAAACAAGTAACTTTCCCAAAGCTTTGTTTTTAATATGGTTTAGAGAAAAGCAAGTAAACGAATGGTGAGTCATCAGTCAGAGTTTCCAGAATACAGGCTTCATTCCTGAGGACAATCTTGTGGTGGAACTCAAATAGAAAAGCAAGATCTACAACAAGCATGGGCAAACTTCGGCCCTCCATGTGTTTTGAGCTTCAACTACTACCAACTGTTAAGAATTGTGGAAGTTGAAGTCCAAAACACCTGGAGGGCCGAAGTTTGCCCATGCCTGATCTATAAGATTGGCCCTACCATTAGGAAGAGTGAGGTAACTACCTCAGACAGTATTGTGAAGGCAGCTATAGCCACTTTCCTAACCAGTCCCTTCTCTTAGGCCCTTTCTACATAGCTGAATAAAATTCCACATTTTCTGCTTTGAACTGAAATATATGGCAGTTTGGACCCAATAACCCAGTTCAAGGCAGATATTGTGGGAGTTTTGCCTTGATATTCTGGGTTATATGGCTGTGTAGAAGGGCCCTTAGAAGATAGAGTAGTATGTGCCATATGATGTATTCTTAGCCACCGAGACAAGCTAGATGCCTTTAGGTGTAGCCAAAATAGTGATCTTCATTTGTTATTTATTCTGAAATAAGAAGAAATTACAACTGTTTTGAGGTTCTATATGGAGTAGGTCACAAAGGGTCCTTCCACACAGTCCTATATCCCAGAATCTCAAGGCAGAAAGTCTACATTATCTGAGTGTGGACTCAGATAACCCAATTAAAAGCAGATATTGTGGGATTTTCTGCCTTAATATTCTGGGATATAGGGCTGTGTGGAAGGGCCCAAAATATCTTGAGGTAGGAGGTAGGGAGAAGTTCAGCTTTTATTCATTTATTTGTGGTATTTATATACCGCTTTCTGAACCCTGAAGGGAACTAATAACTTTGCATATAGACTACAACTCCGTGTGTGGTCATAACTTTGAACCACATTACTATCTTATCAACCATTTCTTCCAAGGTCCCATACACACTAACTACTAAGGTGAGTGTAGAAGAAGATTGGCTCCATTGTGACTCCCAAGTCTAAAAACAAAATTCATTTATGGGTTGTTGTAGGTTTTTTGGGCTGTATAGCCATGTTCTAGAAGCATTCTAGAACATGGCCATACAGCCCGAAAAACCTATAACAACCCAGTGATTCTGGCCATGAAAGCCTTCGACAATACAAAATTCAACAATACAAAATTCATGTATGTTTCATACATTACTTATTCACATAGTCTAATAGTAATTTTAAACATAATACTTTTAAGAATTTTGTGCATGAAAAAATGTGCACACTTAAGCAAAGCAAAGGTGGACACCCATGTGGACAATTTTGAAGCATTACAAATTCTCAGATAAGGGATACTCAACCTGTATTGCGTATACCTGAATCCGAATATCATAACTTTTTCCATTTGTATAAATCTCTCACATTGTCATGCATCTTGTTTTAATCTTGCCCCCTATCAGGAGAAAAGTGAAATAGACATTAAATAAATGGGTAAGTAGAGAGGAACTCCAGAACTATGAATTTGACTACTTTCATGTAAGCTTTTGCAGAAGAATTATAATACAAAATCCATTTACTTAGAGCTGTCATCACCATTCAGCCAAAGCAGGTAACAGTGACTACCATGAAACTAATGACAAAACCATGGTGACAAAATAATGACAACATTCATGCAAAATGTTACTTATGATTTTTCCAGTGAAAAGTCAAAGTCATGTTGAATAATCTTGAGAAATAATGAAAACATAGAGTTTGTCAAACCCTTTAAGCAGTCCTGATTCATGTCATGGAAGTGATTGGTTGGTGCTTTTGTGACTAATTGGCTCACAAGAGCTTGCTTTTTCCTCACCTGCTATAATTGCATGCATGTCACTTTAAATCATCCCATCCACATGTACAAAACAGCTCAGTGACAACAGGCATGTTATCCAAAGGCACCGCCACCTTTCCAAAAATGATGCTATAAAAGACGCTTTTCAAAGTGTTTTCCAGAGTCAAATATTTGTTTCCTGCAACAAATATCTGTGGTTGCACCCAAGGGAGCAAAGGGTGAGTTTGAGTAAGGAGCATAGGTCTTATTTGTTTTTTCAACAATTTCAACATGTCATGATTAGTTTGTTGAGATTAGCCTGCTAGAAGGCATGTTAGAGTTCATGCCCTTCAAAACTGAACCAATTGCTTAATTGACACAGAATTGCTTTGAGATTAAATCAATGTGAGCTATCAATGTAAAAGTTGAAATTTTTCTCTCATTGTACAAGATGAGCAAAAATCCAAGTAGTATATGTGTGACATGACTAAAAAAATCTTACTGCAGACATTTTGTTTCAGCCCAATTTTTTATATAATGCATTAATGCACAACCTTTACATTGAAACACTTGGCAGTTTATGCTCATGCTTTACACCAGGGATCCTCAAACTAAGGCCCGGGGGCCGGATACGGCCCACAGAGGTCATTTACCCAGCCCTCGCTCAGGATCAACCTAAGTCTGAAATGACGTAAAAGCACACAACAACAACCACAACAGAAACAACCCTATTTCATCAGCGAAAAGCAGGCCCACACTTCCCATTGAAATACTAATAAGTTTATATTTGTTAAAATTGTGATTTATTTTAATTATTGTATTATTTTAAAGTGTGTTTTTTTGCACTACAAATAAGATATATGCAGTGTCCATAGGAATTCATTAATGTTTTCTTAAAATTATAACAGTTTGAGGGACTGTGACCTGGCCCTCTGTTTAAAAAGTTTAAGGACCCCTGCTTTACACAGTATTAGCCAAACAATTTGATATTAACTCTTTAACACTTATTAAAAAGTTAATATCAAACAAGGGGATGGGAGAGATACCCTGACAACCGCCCAAATATGTAGATCTATTCTAGGGTGGATCTAGACAGCCTCTTTATTGCAGAAACTTCCAGACAACGTTCTGAGCAACCTGGAATTAATTCACCACAAACCAGGAAAACCCTGGTTTGTGGTGAATTAATTTGATAGTGGGTTTATTCTGCTCCTTCTTGGAAGGTGCAGGATAAACCCACTACTTCTGGTGTCTGGGCTGCAGAATACTGCAGTACAGACAGTATTCCCACAGTTTTCCAAGCTAAATAAGCCCAACTGAACACAGTTTTTACAAAGGAAAAGAACTCACCCAGCCTCCATGGGATGGCTGCCGGAGTTCTCCTGCTGCTTACAAATCACATGCCAGCAGAAGGGGGATGGAAAACCACTCCTGCCCCCCCCCCCTTTCTCCTGATGTGTCATTTGTACATGCCAGGAGAACTTTGCCAGCCGTCCCATGGAAGCTGGGTAAGTTCTTTTCCTTTTTTTACTGTGTTTGGGGGGGGGGATCTGGGAAGGGGGTCAAGTGTCACAGTGTTGTATTGGGAAGTCCCACTACAACATCTGGACACCCACCCTAGAAAGTGCACACTTTCTAGAGTGAGTGCAGATGGGCCCCCACAAACATCCACGTTTTTTAAACACAGATGTTCCTGGGATAACGGACTGTCTGGACTGGCCCCTAGATGCACACCTGTAACTTGCATTAATTGAAAACAAGACATTGCAAATAAGCATTCTAGCTGAATCAATATCAGGATTGTAGGACAAATGATTTATAACTATGGTTCTTTCTTCTATGACCCCTTCCACACAGATGTACATTGAACTGGATTATGTGGCAGCGTGGATTCAGATAATCCAGTCCAAAGCAGATACTGTGGATTAACTGCCTTGATATTCTGAGTTATATGGCTGTTTGGAAGGGTCCTAGATGTCTGGGATCTGTGGTTTAATGAGAAAATTCTCTCTGCTAGAGAGTTTCAGTTCTGTAGATCAGGTGGGGGCTCACTAGCGATGTATAGTAAAGAGAGTCCTCCATACCTCAGAACTATAAATCCTAGGATTACAGAGGATGGCAATTAAAGTGGCATCCAAATAGTTTAATTGAGTGATAAATGTAATTAATGCACTAAATGATTGATGTCTATTATGTGTTAGGAACAGAACATGAAAGGTATAAAAATTCCCAGGCTGAAATTTGACTGAAATGTGTCAGGTTGCTTTGCAGTGCTTTTTCCATCTTTCGTTTATGTTAGCTTTCAAGATAAGAAACTCTGAGTCTTTGCATGCTACAACTTCAAGATGGTACAGCAAGTGTAGTTTTTTAAAGAAAAATATTTCATTCTTTCTCTTCATTCACAGACAAACCAAGAACAACAATGAAATCTTTGCTCTCTGTGTGTTTGTTAACGGTTGGCCTCTGCGCTATCAGTCATGGCCATCACATCAATGGCCATGATAATACAAGTGTTGCAGCTACCAAGATCTATACCAACACCGCTCAGTTTGGGCTGAACATGTTGCATCAGATTTCTTCAGCATCACCTGGCAAGAATGTTTTCTTCTCGCCCCTCATAATCTCTTCTGCCTTATCTGTCCTGTCAATGGGGGCAAGATCAACTACCCACACTCAGATTCTGGAGGGGCTCACCTTTAATCTGACAGAAATCCAGGAAAAAGAAATTCATGATGGGTTTCATAACCTCTTTTCTGTGCTGACTAACCCTACCAATAAGGTCAAACTCGATATCGGTCAGGCTCTGTTTGTGAAAGATGACCAAAAACCATTACAGACATTTTTGGATGCTGTCCATGCCTCATATGAAGCAGATGTGTTATCAGCAAAATTCCAGGAGCCCACAGAAGCTGAAAAGCAAATCAATGAATATGTGGAGAAGAAAACCCATGGGAAAATTCCACAACTGGTCAAGGGTCTCGATCCAGACACTGCAATAGTTATAGTGAACTACATATTCTTTAAAGGTAAATTATGAAAATCTAAGATAACAGTCTAACAAGTGTGTAAAGAGTGTAAATCAGTGTTCCTTCACTTATTGCGGGTGTTCTGTTCCAGGACCACCCGCGATAAGTGAAAATCTGCAAAGCGGAGACTCTATATTAATTGTAATATGTATACATTATTTTAGCATATGTATAAGAAGTGTGCATGCACAGTCTAGCCCTCACACTTCCTTACCCGCCTCCGGAGTCACACAGGAGGCAGCAGGCCAGGGAGGCAGGCCTTCCACACCATGCCTCAGGCCGCCGCTCTACTGGGGTCCGTGGAGGCCAGGGAGGCAGGCCTTCCCCACCGTGCCTCAGGCCTTCCCCGCTGTGCCTCAGGCCGCTGCAGATAGGTGCTCTCAGGATGGGCCAGGGGAAGGAGCGGCGGCATGAATGCTCCAGGTCACGGGAGTGCAAGCAGAGCCAGTAGATGGAGTCCTGACCCATACACCAGCCTCCCTTTCTGAGGCTCATTGTAATGTAACTATTTTATATTAATATTTATAAAAATCCGTGAAACAGCAAATCCACGTATAGCAAACCATGAAGTAGCGAGGGAACACTGTACTAACAATGACAAACCATTAATGCAAATGGTGAGAGATATGAGACAGGTAAAAGAAGATACTTCTTTCCCCAATGCTAGGAACTTTGGAACTCACTACCACAAGATTTAATGATAGCTGCCAACATGGGTAGTGTCAACTCAGCAGCTTTTCAGAGAAGAGATAAGGTCAAAAGCTGCTTGAGATTGAAGTCAGCATATGTTTCAGAGTTTAGCTTCAGATCAACAAACAGGCAGTAGTCAAGCAATAAGCAATAAGCATGGTCCACAGCAGCCCAAATCAAAAGGAAGTCCATCCAAGAGAAAGACACGCAAATACAGAAGATATGTTAGTAATTATGTTTATATATTATTTACAATTAGAGAAGCAATATGAAGAGCAGGAAGCAGTGGGCTGGGGGATAAATACAAAAAGGGCTAGCTGGGGCTTTGGAGCTCTTGGAGCTCTTCTGGTATCCTTTCATATTACAGCTGAAGAAACCGAGGGAACTCTTTAGGTAGTGAAGGCAGGGTGGGAACGCACACAGTCCCCAACCCACAATGAACTAGGTAAATCTGATCTCTCAGTAAATAATACAATTTATTGCAAATTGGTCTCTGATTTAGTTGCACAATGAAGTTCTTGCTGGTGCCTGGATGATTCTAGGAGATGTAATTCCCCAAAGTAATATTTCCCAGCCCTACCATGCATGCAGCTCCAACACTAAACTATTCAAACCCAGACTTGGTGACTAGTTGGGTTGTGAGAAATGGAAACCACCTCTGAGAGTCGGGTATCAATACTATAGTGGGTTTTATCATCCAGGATTCAGAATGTAGTTTGATAACTCCAAACTGGATCAGTAGACACAAGTACCTGTAGAAAGACCAGTGCAATAAACACAAGAACTTTGAATCTTCTAATGGTCTGTCAGAAATGTCTACACATTTCTTGCACAGAACCCTTTAGTCCAACACAGGATATACAGGTTTTTGCACAGGTCCCCATACAGGTTTTCAGTTCGTCCAGTTATCACTGCTGATGCTAGTGTGCAAGACAATAAATTAAAGCCTGTGTATTTATTTATTTATTTATTTATTTATTTATTTATTTTAAACATTTATACCCCATCTGTCTCACCCCCGAGAAGGGACTCAGGGCGGCTTTACAATAGGCAACCATTAGATGCTGAACATCAACTAACAATCATAATTAAACAACAGTCAAAACAATTATAAACATTCAAAGATTTAAAACTATTTAAAATCCTGCCAGTTTAAAATCATGATCCAAGATCAGTCCATTGCCAGTCGCATAGGTCATTCTCATTCAAATGGCTGTATCTATTGCTGAAAGGCTTGACCTCAAAGCCAGGTCTCAAGTTTTTTTCAGAATACCAGGAGGGAGGGATCAGATCTGATATCATTTGGGAGGGAGTTCCACAGCCGAGGAGACACCACTGAAAAGGTCCTGTCTCTCATCCCCACCAACCACACTTGCAAAGCAGGTGGGACCAAGAGCAAGGCCTCCCCCGATGATCTTAAACTCCTTGATGGTTTGCAGAGGGAGATACGTTTGGACAGGTAAACTGGGACGGAACCTTATCTTTGAAAACAGGACAAACCTGTAGGTTGAAGCTGTCTAGACAAATAAGCATCTAAGATATTTAAGATATTTTTCTATTTCAAGAAAGAGTGATCCATGTTGCTTAAACATTATCCTTGACAGGACAAATCTGTAGGTTGAAGCTGTAACCTTCCCTGTGTTTTGAACTTTAGCTTCCAGAAGCTCAGGTCAATGGTGAGGAACTGTATGAATGGTAGGCTAAAAATCAAATCATTCAATCTCTTGCTGTGAGATAGTCTTCTATGGTCTGCTCTAAACACATGATCTATTTGATATTGATATGTTATTATTGCTCTATGTTAGGCTTTATATGTATGTGAGGCATTAACATTTGCCATAAATATGTTGGAAACAGTTTTGACCCTGGGGTGAGAAAGGTGGTATACAAGTGAAGTAAATAAATAATATCATTCCCATTTGATAGTTGAAAAAGCTGTATAATTCTTCCAAAATATGAGCATGTATCCTTTATGCCTCTTTAGGCAACTGGGAGAAGCCTTTTGATCCAGAGATGACAAGAGAAAGGGACTTCAAAGTGGATGATAAAACAACTGTCAAAGTACCAATGATGCAGAGAATGGGTTGGTTTCACTACTATTTTGATCATGAGCTGTTCTGCACAGTGGTACGAATGCAGTATAATGGCACTGCTACCTCATTTTTCATTCTACCTGATGCTGGGAAGATCAATGAATTGGAGAAGGCAATTTCACTTGATGTTTTGTCCAAATGGGCTGAACGTGTTCACCGGTAATCCTTGTGTTACTACTAATGTATTCCTCTAGATAGTTATAGCAGAAGGACTTTTACAAACAGTACCATGTTTCTTTCTGATTTGCACTTGTAATTGTACATTAGTGTAATGAGCTCCTAGACCAGTGTTTCTCAACCTGGGGGTCGGGACCCTGGGGGGGGGGTCGCAAGGGGGTGTCAGAGGGGTCACCAAAGACCATCAGAAAACACAGCATTTCCTGTTGGTAAAGGGGATTCTTTTTGGGAAATGTGATCCAATTCATTGGTGGGGTTCAGAATGCTCTTTGATTGTAGGTGAACTATAAATCCCAGCAACTACAACTCCCAAATGTCCTGTCTATTTTCCCCAAACTCCACCAATGTTAACATTTGGGCATATTGAGGATTCATGCCAAGTTTGGTCCAGATCCATCATTGCTTGAGCCCACAGTGCTCTCTGGATGTAGGTGAACTATAGCTCCAAAACTCAAGGTCAATGCCCACCAAACCCTTCCAGTATTTTCTTTTGGTCATGGGAGTTCTGTGTGCCAGGTTTTGCCAAATTCCATCATTGTTGGGGTTCAAAATGCTCTTAGATTGTAGGAGAACTATAAATCCCAGTAACTACAACTCCTAAATGACAAAATCACACACACACCCCCACTACACACACACACACACCAGTATTTAAATTTGGGCGTATCAGGTATTTGTGCCAAATTTGGTCCAGTGAATGAAAATACACTCTGCATATCAGATATTTACATTACGATTCATAACAGTAGCAAAATTACAGTTATGAAGTAGCAACAGAAATAATGTTATGGTTGGGGGGTCACCACAACATGAGGAACTGTATTAAGGGGTTGCAGCATCAGGAAGGTTGAGAACCACTGTCCTAGACCATATCGACTCATCAGAAGGCAATTCACAACTAAGGTTGTCAGTGCAGCTTTCTGGGTCAAAATTTGAGAGCCACAAAATGGCTTCTAATGCTATCATTAAATATTACATGAAATACCAGCCACAGTTGACATTCTGAAACTGGGGTGGGGGTGGGGGCATATTTTCCTGTTTGGACATTAAGACATACAACTTATCTAAAGGAGTATTCCATAATCATGAAGAAATAGGTAGATTACTCTTTCTCACTTACCTAAGGAGATGGAATAAGAAACATTTAATCTAGTGACCTTATTTCTAGTGGATATAGAGCAGAGCAGAGGGTAAGCTTGGCACCTAAACAACTGGGAGGAAATTAGGAAACTAGCACATCATATATAGACCTTCTGGAAAGTTGATTCAATTTGAAGCAACAAATCAAAAGTCCTTGCACACTGTAGCAAGTTACTGCTCTATTAGGTGTGGTGGCCCTTTCCTGAGCCCAACAAAAATGGAGAATTTACATCCTTGTCTCCCACCTGGAGATGAATACCGTAAACTCAGGTCCAGACCTTGAGATATGACAACCCCAGTCGTTATATTAGCTGAAGAATCTGAATTGTTAAAAAGGGCAGTCCTACATAAACTGTGTTAATAGTAATCAAGCAATGGGATAAATCCACTCCACTCTTAGCAGCGCAGTCTGTGAAATATTGTTTTAGCTCTATCCTTTATATGGGGAAAATTATTGGATCATTTTCTTGCCTCTCTCTTTTTTTCCAGTGGCACAGCACATGTACATCTTCCAAAGTTTAATATTTCTGCCAGCCATGACCTAAAAGGTCCCCTCACCAACCTGGGCATTGCTGATATGTTCTCTGACCGTGCTGATCTGTCTGGAATCACTGGGCAAGCTTTGAAAGTATCAAAAGTAAGTCTAACATTTAAAAATCCCAGTATTTATGTGATTTTATTTGAACCAAGATCTTGGTTTAAATACAATAGTGTAGCTACTTGTTTCCTAGTTTTCCCCACCACATGTTATAACTTATAATTTTTAGCTATACTTTGTTTTAAAGGTTGTGGTAAGCTGCCCTGTGTTCCTGCATGGAGCAAAAGATGAGATATTAAATCAATAAAATAAAAATATGAGATGAATATTGTGTTCAGACCTTTGATTATCTCTGGACACATTCCAGCTTATCAATCACCTTTTTGAACGATGGTTTCAAATGTTTAAAAGCAATGCTTTTGGCTTTGCAAGATTAGCCATTTACAAGAAACATTGTCCAGGGGATGCCCGACTGTATTTACTCAGTCTTTGAGGAGGTTCTTTCCGTGTGGCCAGACCTGAACATAGTATTCCAGATGAGGCTGACCAAAGCAGAATAGAATGGTATTATTACAACCCTTGACCTATATACATATTCTTTCTGACATATCTGAGAATTTGGCCCTGCCATCCCACTGTTGACTCATGTTTGGCTGATGACTCCCAGACCGTTTTTCTGTGACGGTCCCCCTGAATGGTCATTCCAAGCCTAGTGAGAGGAATCAGTGATGTACCTGGTGATGACCTGTGGACAGATGCACACTGGTGACTAAGGTTGAGCAAAAATGCCATGTCCCATCATAAGTCAGATCAATTTCATTATTTTTTCCACTTACAACGCAATATCCGATGCTCACGCATGGTCTGCACCACAAATTAAGAAATTGAACCTTTAGATGCCTTTGTATATTAAGTTTCAATTTCTTCATAAGGCCCCTGTTACACAGTTAAAATTCCCTGGTTAATCAAGCCTTGTGAGAGGTGAAGCAAAACATGTTGGCATGCCTCTCAGTCAATTAGGGCTGACAGAGGACGGAGGGGGAGGTAGAGCAGCCACCATTTTGATTTTAAATTTCAGACCGTGGTGGAGCAGGCTCCATTTGCGCTCTGGAAAGAATCGAGGGAGGAGGGCAGGCAGGCAGTCAGAGTAGAGAGAGAGGGAGACAGTGAGAGACACATTGGCTAAGGAAGGGAGAAAGGAGTCAAGTGAGACAGAAGAGAGACGGAGAGCATCAGAATGGAAAGAAAGAAAGGAGGAGAGTGAGCTGGCTGTGGGCCCAGTGGCTGTGTGGGTGCTGCGCTGGCTGGCTGGTGGCTCTTGTGCAAAGGGTCTAGTGGCTGATAGTACTTTGAAATTATTTTGAGTTTAATTTTTATAGCATTAATAGAGTTAGGCTGCCCCAGTGCCCACAGCCTGGGCTGGAGAGGCCATTCCTAAATGAATGGCCCTCGGGGGTCCCTCCAACTCTAGGATTCTATGAAAATGTAGAATGGGTTAGTATTGGTTTCTTCTATTGGTTAATACGAGAGACATTTGATGAGATAGCTGTTGTGGCTTTCTAAGAAAAAAAACCCAAAAATCAGTAGATGTACGAATATTTTTGCAAGTTGGGAGGAATGATCCCCTGTTATCTTGTGTTATCTAGTATTATCTAGAAAATTCAAGGTGATAGCTCTTGTAGGGTTTTGTTAAAAATGTTATTTATAAAAGTTTTGAAAATTCCCCAAAAATCATGGATAAGTGAAACTTTCTGAAATTTGGTGGGCTAACAGTGGTAAATGTGTTCTACCATTGTAGCAGGTTTCATCCCAATAGCTGTAAAAATGAGGGAGAAAGGAGCCCCAGAAGTTTCCCCACTTGTGCAATTTCTATAACAAAATAGTAACAATAGTAACACTACTCTCATTACTGTAACAACATGTTCACTAACGATACTTTAGAAACAATTTAGAAATGAAGCACCAGTACAACCCCCCCCCCCCCAATACCCCATATTTTGTAATGACTTTTGAAACATTTTTTAATCAATCGCAGAACCCTACTGGTGACATCTCCTATTGAGATTTTATGAGTCATCCTGAGCTCATCAGATGATGTAAATCAATCTGCATCTGTGTACATGAACAGAGCCAGATGCTTCTCTGAACATCTGCTTTGTGCATTTGTCATGGAACAGCTGTGGATTATTGTTGTGTGGACTTTAAATTGTTGTGACAGGTAGAAGAGAATGCCAAGATCTACAATAGTCAAAAAAGGAGCTGTGCAGGTGTAAGCTCTGTGAATGATACTAACAAGATCCCAACCTATGAGTGTCCAGGGTACTTTTGCAGCAAATGTAGTTATTAACTAAAATCATGCTGGTTGTCAAAACTGAACAGACTGAATGATGAGAAGGACAATGTCCTTCAGTAAGAAAACATCCGTTTCACCTTCACATAAGTAATCCCATTCATTTTCCTGAGCTTTAACCCATCTTTTTGTTTCTTCTCAGGTTACCCATAAAGCTGTGTTGACTATTGATGAGAGAGGTACCGAGGCTGCTGCAGCCACCGCAGTAGAAGCCATTCCTATGTCTCTGCCTCCGACCATTATGTTCAACGAACCTTTTCTGATGCTGATATATGATCAAGTTACCAACAGTACACTTTTTATGGGCAAAATAGTAAACCCTACTGAGTCTTAAGCAATAAAGTACAATTTTGAATGCAGCATTCCAATAAACAAGACTTTGCAACCTGGAGCCATTCTCTCAACCCCCATTAACTTTGCTGCAGTTCAAATGTGCATTGATACTGTTCAATGCACATTGCATTGGTCCCAATACACTTCAGGTACCCATGTGCATTGGGCACTCTTCCTAGGGTGCTCTGATGCATTTTTACAATTAGGTAAAGGGTTTCTTTGCAACATACCTGACTATAGTATCACCCCATATCTGCAAAACCAATATATGTGGATTTATTTATCTATGTCCAACAAAATATGTCCTCTCCAGGCATTTCCTAGTTTCCTCCAGTATAACTCTATAGAATCCTTCGGCCAATAGGAGATTATTGTCTGTGGTTTTTCAAATACACATGAAGTCTAAGATGGCTGGAAGCAATGTGGGGGGAATATGTGTTTAAGTGTATGTGTCACGTTATGTATAGTAACATGTCAGATAGGATTGTGATGTGGCTTTTTAATGCTCTTCTCCACTGGAGATCAAAGTCAAAAATGGCATTGCCTGCCAGGGTATACATCTTCAGTAATGTCATTCCCAAGAACCAACTCAGAAACACATGTGATGCAGTTTAATCCTTCAAAGGTTATAAAGAAGGCACAAGTGAGCACCTCACACAGCACTTTAGTATTTTTAAAATATCAAAAGGGCCGGGATTACTCTTAAATAATACTCCATTTTCCAGGGATAACATTAGTTTGATGGCAGGTGCATAACTGACAGATAAATCCTAGCGTTATCAGTCTTCCAAGCTGGGCTTCCTGCCATTAACACCTACAGAGACTGCACATATGCTACCTTGACTGTCAGCTCCTTCTCATGCTAGCAACCATCTGGTTGAGTAGGATTACACAAGGACATCTATACTGTCCAAGAAAGAGAGAGATCTACATGCAAACACTGCTGCCTCAATAATTTGGTTCCTGAGATTTTTAACAGCTCTTGGAAGAACTAGCAAATCAGTGTGTGAATTTCAAAATTTATGAACACTTCAGGATGAATTACTGTATGGGTTTGCTTGCTTACTTAGGTGATCCCTCATTGTCCAAGTAAGTTTGTCCTCCAAGTTCAGTGTCCTGGTGGTGGGTATATAGGTGTTTGTGGAGCGCTATTCTTGATCTGCATCTTCTCCCACAGTGAGGGCATCAGTTTCCAGGTTGAAACAGTCCCGGTCGAGACTGGCTTGATGTGCCTTCCTCTTGGCACATTTCTCTCTTTCGCTCTCCATTCGTGCCTCTTCAAATTCTACAGCACTGCTGGTCACAGCTGACCTCTAGCTAGAGCACCAAAGGGCCAGGACTTCACAGTTCTCGATGTCAATGCAGCAGTTTTTAAGGTTGGCTTTGAGCTCATCTTTAAATCTCTTTTCCTGACCTCCAACATTTCATTTTCCATTCCTGAGTTTGAGTAGAGCAACTGCTTTGGAAGATGGTGATCAGGCATTCGACAATGTGACTCGTCCAGTGGAGTTGATGGCGGAGGAGCATTGCTTCAATGCTGGTGGTCTTGGTTTGCTTGAGGTAGCAATATCAGAACCAACCAACTAATAATTTAGTACTATATAAACATACTTTGGCTACATGACCGAACACTGAGGTTCATCTTAAAATGAAGAATGAAATTTGTGAGGCAATCATAGGATACATTGGGATAATACTAGACTAGTTTCAAAAGGTAAAGAAAGCATGCCTCATAACTGACATTGTTGGAATGGCTGAAACACACCACAGCAAGCAATGGTAATAGCACACTATTTCCAGAAAAACTGGAAGAAACAAAGTACAAAAAACACAGCTCAAAGAGTAAATAATTATCAGTAAGGGTCAGAAGGGTGTCTGTGTGATATAAATAAAGAATAGGTTCGCTAATACAAAGATGAATTATTTGATCCATGGTGGTAAAATTCAAAGACAGCTGGGTAAGTCTGGGTCAGTCTGGATCTCTGCATATTTTTGAGACTGAGAGAAGTTGGTGGCATAACTTTTATTATTTGACTCATGTTGATAAAAATTCAAGTTCTGATAAAGAACTTGAATCTTATCTACATGAGTCAAATAATAACCATTGTTCCCTAGAACAATTAACTTACTGAGGAGGAGGAAGATCCTGGTCTTAATCCTAAATGGAACCAAAAATGTGATAGAAGAAATAAATGCTGTTGGAATAAAATGGAACAGTGATCACAAAGCTGTGTCAGATTCAACATATATTGAAACAACCCATTTTCAAAAATGATCAGAAAAATCATGCATGTTTTCATATGAAGAAACTTCCCCAGGATGAAGTACAGAAGAGAAAGTTAAAATGAAAGATCAAGAACATTGTCTTCAAAAATACATTTTGTTCATTATTATTATAGTAGCAGTTGTAGCAGTAGTAGTAGCAGAATCCAGCCCTTTTCACAAAATTGGGACCCAAAGCAGCTTTCACATCAAGAAGAATACATTAAAACATACAAGAAGTGAACATTAAAAAGAGTTATAGAAACTTGAAATCATATGTACAATCCAGGAGGCCATAGCTGCAGAATCTGCAGACCTCCAGTTGCTGTTGGATTTCAACTCTCGTTATCCCTGACCACTGGCCTATCTTGGAGCAATCAGAACTATCTTCCAAAAAAATCTGGAATTTTTCAAACTTCCCATGCCTCCTTTTCCAAAAATGTCCCTTTGTTTTGTCTTGCTAAAACCCAAAATCTTGATAAGAAATCTTCCCCTGTCCAAAGTCCAGAAATTCTACTTAGCTCTGCTTTTGTTGGTAGTTAATGTAGAGCTGCTCTTTCTATCTGTTGTCCTTTGGATGGACTCTGTGCTTAAACAACAGACACTTCATCCATCCTTTTTTCCCTACCAGTACATTGGTCACAGGTACCATCGATCATAAATGAGCAACAAACAGTATAACTTGTACTTTCTCTGCCAAAAGGCTCACAGCCCATTTCAATTAGTGCTTGTATTCGATTCTCTCTCCTCTAATTGTTGCCTTGTATTCCCATCTCTTGCCACCTGGGAGGAACACATTTCTCCATCACATTTGTTCTTCGAATTTCCTCTCTGTACTAGCTCTTCTTCACACCCTCCCACTCTATCTCCCACATTGTTACAATTGCTTTCCCAGTACACAGCCATTTGTACAGAAGGTGGACATTGTTGGCTCTGCAGTTGCACCACCCACTCTAGATATCACACATTTTCATGTGCTGCTATTAGAGACTTTCAGATCTTACCCAGTGTGAGGCATCCCATCCCCCCACACACAACCATAATTCAAAATTCATGTCATCCATGACCAACCCAAGGACATTTTGCTGCCTTGGACAAAGGACAAGATGGAATCCACTAGCATATTGCATACAGTTGATTGGACTGATTACACAGCCTGACACAAAAAAATCTTAGTATCTTGTTTTTTAGATCTGTTCCTGCGGTTATTTGGGGTACTGAATTAGAAAATTGCATATGATAAACTACATCAGCTCTAATTTCTTAAATATGGTTATCTATGATTTTCTGTAGGCGAGGAGATGAAGAGTGGTAAATACATTCTGTATCTCAAAAACTAGAGCTGATGGTGGAAACTGGTGCCATTTTTGGAATCAGTAGATCAAGTATACCAGAAACGGTTCTAACAAAGACAACTAGAAACAAGTCCAATGATGTGTGAAGGGATTGCTCCAGCTAGATTGCTCCAAGGCGAAGGGATTGCTCCAGCTGTATCTGACAGTTGTCCCCTGAAACAGTTGCCAAACTCTGCTTAACTAGATTCAATAGCTTGATACTAGACACCTGGATCTGTTTCATGATAGAATTTATCACATTAAGCTGCTGTTCCATGGCAATCTCATGTGGAATATATCAAGATAAGCACCCTCGCTACTGTACATGATCATCTTCTTCCACCCAATGCACAGCTCTGGCAAGGACACACAAGAATAAAAGGGACACTCATCTGCATGTCCTGATCAGCCAAATCAACTCTGGTAATCAACAGAATAATAATAATAATAATAATAATAATAATAATAATAATAATTCGACTGCCTTCTCTCCCCAAGGAGACTCAGTGTGGTTTACACACAAAAAAACGAACATTCAATGACCAGACAAACACAAGGTTTTGGTTTTTTTTTTACAAAAATAAAACATAATAAAGAATAATAATAGGTAACAGATGTCATAGCCAGACCACTCTCACATACTAATCACATTCATGTATAAAATGTTTAATAAATATAATGTTGTATAATGCTGTACTTTGAATTGTTTTATACTGTGTTGAATTTTGTTCTTCTTATGTTGTACACCGCTGTGAGTCGCCCCCGGGCTGAGAACAGCGGTATATAAGCAAAGTAAATAAATAAATAAATAAATATTTTAGTCTGATCTTTTTAATATCCTTATGCAATGAAAGGGATGCCATATAATAATTTGTGGTCAGAGCCAAATGTAAAATCATTGACTGAGCTCCTGCATTGGGAGATACAGCTAAAAAGTCAGAGGTAGAACATTTGCTAAGGCTATCCTCCAATATCTTGCCTCTGAAGTCTTGCAGCTCCCAAACCCAAATACAGCCATTTCTAAGGTTCAGGAGAGCAGGACAAGAGCAATGACATGTTTAGCCCTCTCCCAGTCTTTGCATGCTTGAGATAGGCAACCACGAAGACAACTGAAAGGTCTTGTGAAGATACAATCTCAGGTGTCTGTCTCAGGGCACCTCACAACCAGGAGAGGTCTTGATATGTCATTATTCACTGTCTTGCAATTGTCTCGGAAATGACAGTGCTGGAGAGGCTGTGAGGCTTCCAAAGCAAGCTATCATCAACTGCCTTTTCAAGTGAATATGTCTTCTCATGAATGTCCAAAGAATGACAGTCTTGGCTTCTAGCGTGAGTTTAGGTTTAATTTGTTCTAGGAACCATTTATTTGGTTTTTTTGTAACTGGTTATTGCTCACCTTCGGTTGTATCTGTAGTGTGGTGTTGTTGAGAGGATTTTGACACAATACCTTGTGTTTGAGT